GTTTTTTCATTTAATATAGGGGAAAGTTTTTTGAAAAAATTTCTGTAATTTTTCCTTAATATAGTAAAAAATAAAAAACCCCCAGTGGTAAATAAATACCACCAAAAGAAAGCTCTATCTGTCCCCAAAAAATTATATAAAATTAATTTCAGTACAGCGCTGCATGACGGAATAAATGTCAGTCAAAGTACCGCAGCGCTGAATACTGAAAAATGGCCTAGATGGGAAGGGGGTCTAACACCGCGCATGTCAACTGGTTAATAAGATAGGTTATTGGATAAACCAGACTGAGCTGTTTGTGGAACAATGATGAGGAGGACGAGGCAGACAAAGACCTCCATAATGTGCCCTCATGGTCAATCTCTACTCTTTCTCTTGCCCTCTCTATGCCCAGGTGCCGGTGGTGTGCCCTCTGCAGCAGTGGCTGAAGCAATTCTAGATGCTGTGGTGGATTTTGTCAAATCTAAATCAGCCGTAACCGTCCAAAATGTGATGATGGTGATATTCCAGCAACAAATGCTAAAAGATTTCCATGACAGTATGAAGAAGAAGGAGCCTCCAACCGCAGCCAAACAACAGTCCTGGTTTAGTCTTTCTAGGATCACATGTAAGTGTCATATTTTTTAGAATCATTCTCATCTCTGTAAATGAAGATCAGAACTTTTTCTTTTCTTGGTTTCTTACTGCTGTGTGCTTTCTCTATTAAAGAGATTTTCACTCACTTCTATTACGTTGACATTGTTTCACCAGACAGGAAGTAAAGGGAAATCTTCCTCTGTACTTCCTTCTGTGTTCCTTCCTCAGTCTTTCTGTGTGGAACAATAATTCTGTAAATTATTCTTGTCTTATCCTAATATTCTTTAGACTCTCTTACAGCCTTTTTGGGTATAGGCCAATCTGACAAAAAGAATGATGGTAAAGAAGAGGAAGAAGAAGAGGAAGAAGACAAAGTTTTTGAGCTGAGAGAAAACATCGAGCCGGCCATTTTTCACCTCTGTGCAGAAAGCCGTGAATCTGTGAATGGGGCCTTAGACTGGCTCCAAGGGCTTATAACAAAGGATCAGCATGACAATACCATCACAGATGACTGGATACAGGACTTTGATGATAAGGACCATGAATTTCTGGCTCAACTTCAAAAGAAAAATGGAGTCGGTATTACTTTTGACTCACCACGGTCCACCATTAAGGTGACAGGCCGCACCAGGGATGTTCTGGAGGTCAGTAATAAAATCCAAGACAGGATAAAGAGTGTGCGAGATAAGAAGACGCAAGAACGAGAGGCTGACCTGTGCAGTAACGTGGTGGAGTGGGGATATCACGAAGGCACCAACTTTGTTCCCTTCGACAAAATGACAAACTTAAAGCTAGAAAAGGGTAAAAATGACAAAGGTTCTGTGAATATTGATATCGCCGGTGTAAAATACACAGTGATTATAGAGCGGAAAACTGCAAGAGATGCCAAAGGAAACACAATTGAGCTTCAAAGAAATCCGAAAAATGGTAATTTCTATTCTTTCTTGTTCAAATTTTCATGAAAAGAAAAAGTTTATATTTAAATTGGTCATCAGAGAAATATTGATTATTATTATTTATTATTACTATTGTCAGTCACTATTAAGTTTGGGATGGCTACAGCCAGCAGAAATATAAATTAACTTCCAGCCTTGGGCTTTCTTGGGTGATCACAGATGTGAGGGCTCTCTATTCTGTATTACTGTTTGTTGGTGCTCCCCCTCATTTCCTCCAGTGCCAAAACAGAAAGATTGGGTGACTATACCTGTCCTGTTTATGGGAGACGCTGGGCTGAACACATCATGAGACAGATGGTACAAGCATGCCCAACACTTTCCTGAAGTCTACAGCCAGCTTACAGACACCTATGCTCCAATGACCCATCACCTCCCTTTAAAGACCTCAGCATTATAGGAAGCTGTGTCCACTAACAGCAATGGTCTACAGCAGGCCTCAAAATTTCCACTCGCCCCCTCGCAATTGGCCAGTGAAAATTGCCGGGGGG